TGCAAAGATGCAATGGATAACTCTATATATATCATTCATATGTATTTCGGTCCGTCATGAAATACAATCAAAAGGAATATGGTCTTTAAACATATTTAGGCCTATACCATATTAGATGTCCAAAGTCCACAGTTTTAGGATCACTTTAAATGGGTTTAACTTTAAGATAGCCTTTAATACACAATTAATTACAATTGTAGGCTTACATGAGAGATGACACGATTGCTAATTCCCATATTAAGCATGTGAATGATTAAAATAAAACCAAATACCACTTGAAAGGATACTATAGCTTGCTTTACAACCACCAAATCAGAATTTCCTTGTAAGAACAACGAGTCAGCAGCAGCTCTAAGATTTTCTAAAGGACAGCACCCTCCGTTTCCAAGTAACTTCACCCGAGAAAATAAAGAGCCTCCATCTCTCTGCAAAGATGCAATGGATAACTCTTCGATATCATTATCCATATTTCCTCCATCTATCTCAAGATTTGAAAGTGCTTCCTCAACGATAATGGTAGAACTATTTTGCGTGCTGGACTCTGTCTTCAAATAAAATTCAGGCCTTGAACGCTTACTAGCAGCTGATTTCCTATCTTGAACAAGTGAACACCACAATGCAAAATTGCCGAGATCTTACATTCTTCAAAAATTGATGTCTTGTACACTAAATTATAATCTCCATGTGCTGTAATGAGGAAACAGTGTAAATTATCAGTTTTCCATGTGCAAAAACATTTATCAAGTAATGGCCCAAGTTGGAAACTTCACTTTTTAAAAGTTGAGGACCTATAACCATATTACGTGAAAGGTTAGGGAGCTGAACCTAATTTAAAATTATTGAGCATTCCCAAGTCCATTTCACCATGCATCCAAACACATCATTAAGAGAATTAATTATTGTTACTCATTAGTTGCATCCATTCATGCAAACAGTAATACGACTTGAGAATTTTATAAGCCTTATGGTGAAAACAATAGACTTCATAGATTAAAAGTGAGAAACGCAAGATTTGACCCTACTACACCTAGAGGGGGGTGATTAGGTGTAAATGCGAAATTAGAGCTTAATTAACATGCAACAAGTTGCATGTTGTTTGGGTGATTAGTCAAACAATTCAAT